GGCCTATTTACAGAATCTTATCTACCAAAAACACTAAACCAATCATACCTCCCAAGCATCATGTATCTGATGGAGATGGTGTTGGAGGGAAACTCAAAGTATGCAGCTATACGAAAACACATACTCTATGCTAATCTCTCACTAATTTATGCTTTCATCTTTCAAGTAAATCCATAACCCCTAACAGCAGTGTCCAGTGAAGCAGGAAGTCAATGTGCAGGGTAAAAGGGTGTGCCACTGGCGCGAATCACGTGACCCGACCTGCCAAAAGGGGTGAACATGCCCAAAAAGGGGTCATTGTTTGTCCAAAGAATTGGAAGGCCAGTCTGGCATGAATGCATGCCAGACTGCCTGCCACTCATGCAGGCTGTCCAACTAAGGGCATACTATGCAGGCAGCACCTTGAGCTTGGCATAAATGCATCAAATGATGCGCCTACTCCACGCTTTCTAAGGACTGTCCCCTAGCACTCACATGTCCACTTGTCTCCTTATCATCTTACTAGCAGGAAGAAGTTCCTGGTATATAGTCTGAGACAGAGAAAAAGGTGCATGTAGTGAGTGTAGAAGAAACGGTACATGCCACAGTGTTAGAGAGACCAAAGTCTGCATTATCTAAACTTATTTTATTGTCAGCCAGTCCACACAGGTTTTGTTCTCATGCATCCCTCTTGAGCTTCCAAACTTAAAGGGACACTATAGTCACCAGAACAACTACAGCTTATTGTATTTGTTCTGGTAAGTAGAATCTTCGATCCAGGCTTTTTGCAGTAAACACTGTCTTTTCAGAGAAAATAACTCTGATGGCCACTCCTTAGATGGCTGCTAGAGGTGCTTCCTGGGACAGTACTGTCTAGTGTGCAGCACTGCCATTCAGTGTCTCCAACCTCTGCATGCAGACACTGATCTTTCCTCATAGAGATGCATTAAATCAGTTTATCTTCATGAGGAGATGCTGATTGACCAGGGCTATGTTTGACTTGTGCTGGCTCTGCCCCTGATCTGCCTAGTTGACAGTCTCAGCCAATCCTATGGGGAAGCATTGTAATTTGCGCAGACCACCACTTCTGATGATGTCAGCAGACAGAGTCAGTTCAGAGACAGACAGGGACAGAGCCAGCAGCTGCATACTTGAATACAAGTAAGCGTTTACTATATTTAGGGGGCAAGAGGGGACCAGGGGGGCTAAATTGTGGTTTTAACATAATAAGGTCAGAAATACCTGATTGTGTTCCTGACCCTCTAGTGTTCCTTTAAGCAAGAGTATGTGAAGAGTAGTTAGGGTTGCCACCTTTCTTGGAAAAAAATACCAGCCTTATACATTTGAATAATTAGTTATGCGTGACATCACATGATGTAAATCACAAGGAGTGACATAAGAGAAAATTCAGTAAAATCACCAACAAACTACTCCCAGTTTGATTCTGCTGTATAGATGGACTGCTCCCAGTGTCTCCCTGTCTCCCAGTGTCTCAGTCTCGTAAGTCATCCAGTCTCTCAGTGTCCCTATGTATCACAGTGTCAGTGTCCCCATGTCGCCCAGTCCCCTAGTCTCCCAGTGTCTCAGTGTCCACATGTCTCACTGTGTCCCCATGTCTCACTGTGTCCCCATGTCACTGAGAGACCTGGGGACACTGAGACATGGGGACAAAGACACTGGGAGACTAGGGGACACTTTGTCACCAGGCATAAAAAAGGTTAAACCGCCATTTAGTAGATCTTCCCTTCCAGAGACACAGGCACAGCTACTGCAGAACACCAATCCGCCGAACAGGAAAAACCATACGAATAGGTTTACACTCCTAGCAGTCAAACTGGAACAGCATACAATAAATCCCCCCCAAGAACGAGACAAGGCTCTGTGTTGTTGGTCAAACAGTGGTCTGTTTAATGAGGGCTACCTGCCCAGTATTTATGCAGGTCTCCCACCTGGTGGACACTCCCCTAGGGGACCAAACGGGAGACTGTGACAAAGGACAGACATGAACCAATGACAGACACACAGATGTAAAACATCCCCACAATGCATCCTAACTTCCCTCCCTGTGTCCTGGAGATAATTGAGAAGTAATCCAATTATCTCCCAGGACAGAGGCAAAACTCCATTACCCACATGGTTACAATAAAACACAATAAAATACACAATATTACATTTATCACACAAAATATATACTTGCAACCCATCCCCAGATAGCTGGGATCTGAGCGCACAAAAGTACCGAATAGCGCTCAGATCCAATGCACACAGTCCAATCGCCGTGGAGGTAAAGTGTTCACAAAGTCTGTTCTCCATACAAATAGACTCCACGGGATGGCTATCTGGGGTAATGCTGTTCATACGGTTTAAACTACCGAATGAACAGGCATTCGGTTAACTGACTGAATGCAGAAGCAAGGAGGCTGACCGCTCAGCAGTGTTCGCGCAAATAAGTGTCCGTTTACCGTTCCACAGTTTGGGCGCTGAACACCATTGGCCGTTCGGGATTTTAAAATGGCCGCCGCCACGTGTTCGGCAACCGAACAAAGGCCACCCAGCATTCGTCAATTAAGCTGCTGTTAACTCCCATGCCTCACCCTTCTGTCAGTCCCTACATTGGCTTCCTATAAAATATAGAGCTCAATTTAAAATTCTGGTTCTTGCTTTCAGATGTCTATATAATGCTGCTCCTACCTATCTATCCTCCCTTATACACAAGTATGTCCCGTCTAGGCCCTTACGATCTGCTGAAGACTTACGTCTATCTTCTGTCTGTACTCCCACCTCTGATGCTCGCCTTCAAGATTTCTCGAGGGCTGCACCGTTCATGTGGAACTCGCTTCCCTCCTCCGTTGCTCACCCAGTTTCCACTCCTTCAAAAAAAAAATCGTTAAAAACTCACTTCTTCATAAAAGCGTATCAATTAAACTGTTAATAGCTCCTGACTGATTCCTCTTCTGCAACTGTCATTAGTCTAATACTATCCTTACCTTGTTGTGTCATTTTACCCCACTCCCTCTAGCATGTCAGCTCATTGAGCAGGGCCCTCAACCCCTCTGTTCCTGTGTGTCCAACTTGTCTGGTTACAACTACATGTCTGTTCGTCCACCCTTTGTAAAGCGCTGCGGAATTTGACGGCGCTCTATAAATATCATAATAATAATAATAACAACAACAACAACCTTATCCCTTTTTACCTGGGCAAAGGGCTTCTCCTCTCTACATTTTCAGGTAGTCATGAAGTGGGATGCCAATGGGTGGGATAACATAGAGTGGGTCAGTGATGCAAACTGCGTCTTTGGTAACGCTTAAAGGGGCAGACACACCCAGAATTGGATGGGTCTCTGCAGAGAATTGTCAGGTCAGGCTAGCATGAATTCACTGCGTACTGCCTGCCAATCAAGCAGGCCAGCCCATTGTAGTGGAGACCTGGTATTCCACAAGTTATCTCCGCTTAAGATCCCAGTGAGGCTCAGGAACAAGTATTTATAAATCCATGAGGCAAGGTTTCCAGCAGGTAAAATAATCCAGCAATATCCCAACAGCAATCCCAATGACTGGACGACACACAGCATCAGGAGCAGAACTAAACTTTTATTCACACAGTGGCCTTATAATGAATGCTCCCATGCAAGGGAGGGATTTACAGTAATTACTACAGTGTCCAATCATACTTGAGTAACCTCCCACACATCTCCTCCCCTTAGCCTGACTCATAATCCCCTTATACAGTACACAAATTCCCCCAGTTTCTGGATGTACCCCTAAACTTAGGGGTACCCCTTTAAATGTCACATCCCCTGATCGGACCACGGGTTCGGGAAATCTGTGGAGGTAATAAAAAGACCGACCGCGCTGGAGAGAACAGCCAAAATTGGTTCCATGAGATGGGGCCCTGCGGTCGGTCACAGTACAAGGGAACAAACTGCACGAAATGCTAGTGTTACAGAGATCAGGGAGGGTTCCCATTTGGTAGATGGAAGTGAATACAAAGTTAGTGTGGAGGTCTCAGCGGTGTTCGCCAAGTCGAGTGTCCGATTTGTGTTCCAGACACTCGACAGCAAAACACCGCTGTTCAGGAGTTTAAAATGGCCGCTGCCACGTGTTCATTTCCCGAATGGCGGCCACCCTGAGAACAAAGGACCCACTGCACAACTTGTCAATTACCGGTTCGCAACATTGTTGCAGCCGGTAATTGGAGGCACACTTCACACTGGGGAGGTCTGACTGTTTCATAATTTCTAGAGTGATTCTACCGAACAATCAGACGAATACTGAATACATTTTCACATATATCGTTACAATTCAACCGAAGACATTAAAATACATGTAATTTCCAGGACAGCCCAGTGCCATCCGCTACACCCATGCATGGCTTAGAGCAGTGTTTCCCAGTGTTTTTACAAAGAACACTGGCTTAGAGGACTGTTTTAGCAGTACCTGCAGTGTCCCTGTACGCTGAGCATAGCGTGAGTATGTCTAATGATGCACTGTGTTTTCCAAGTTATCCCCTGAGTGGAATATTAGGAAATCAACTCAGGGTGGAGGGATAGGTCCCTAAAATAGACTGTGATGCTGAAATTGGGACAGTTGCCAGGTCGGCATAATATTTATAAATATTATTATAACATATACTATATATTATTATAATTAAATCTACACATTGATATAAACTTTGTTATAAAAGTACAAGAATCATGACAATTGAATGCCTTGCTCTTAATATATATCTTAATATTACTGCAGTCAAGAACCAAAAGAGTCAATAGAAGAACGCAATACCGAATGTTTAGTATGTTGTAAAACCTGTTCTTTGCATTCCTAAAAAGTAAATTTAGCTTCTTGTTCTTACTATCTGTTATAAAAGTACCATAATCTCTTCTTCAATATGTGTTACTATTACTGCTGCCAGGAGCCTACAGAGTTAACAGAAGAAAGTGAAAGTCGGTGTTTAGAATGTTGTAAAACCTGCCCTTTGTGTTACAGGAAACGATAAGTTCCATTCCTTGTTTCTCCTTCCAGTGATGGCGTTTGCTGATCTGAGAGAGGAGCTGACCTGCTCCATCTGTCTGAGTATTTATACAGATCCTGTAACCCTGACATGTGGACACAGCTACTGCCAGGTCTGTATTGGGAATGTGCTGGACACACAGGAGGGATCCGGAGCCTATAGGTGTCCTGAATGCAGAGTAGAGTTTCAGGAACGTCCGGCACTGGAGAAGAATAGGAAGCTGTGTAACATAGCGGAGAGTTTCCTATCTAATCACCCAGAGCAGCAGGAGGAAGCTCGGATCCTCTGTACTTACTGCATTCAATCTCCTGTATCTGCTGCTAAAACATGTCTGCTGTGCGAAGCTTCTCTGTGTGCTGAACACCTAAAGAGACACAGCAAATCAGAGGAACATGTCTTAAGTCAACCCACCACTTATTTTGGCAGCAGAAAATGTCCAATCCATAAGAAAATACTGGAGTATTATTGCTCAGAAGATGCTGTCTGTATCTGTGTGTCCTGCTGCCTGATCGGATATCACAAGGGACATCAGATGGAGTCATTACATGAGGCATCTGAGAGGAAAAAGAAGAAACTGAAAAATGTTCTGGACAAACTGACCTCAAAGAGAGAGGAGGCTGAGAAAAGTGTTCTGAGTCTGCAAAAGCACAAGAGAGAAGTGCAAGTGGAAGCAGCTGGGGTAACAGAGCGCGTTACTGCCCTGATTAGAGACATCAAGGAACAGCTGGAAACCCTGGAGAAGCACATCCACGTTGAGATCTCCAGGCAGGAAAAGCAGGTCTCACTCCGAGTCTCAGATCTAATCCGGCAACTGGAAATAAAGAAGGAGGAGCTGTCCGGGAAGATGGATCACATTGAGGAGCTTTATAACATGACGGACCCAATTACTGTATTACAAGGGCAGGAATCAGACTGTACTGATATTTCTGATGTTGAGGCAGAAGATAAGGACACAGAGGATAGAAAGGTTCATGCTGTAGGAGATCTGGATGTAGATCTGATCACACAGACCTTACACACAGGTTTAGATTACATTGTCTCTGGAGTAAAGAAACGGCACCATGTTCTGGAGGCTTTAGACATATTACTGGATGTGAACACTGCTCATAGAAGAGTTACTGTATCAGATGACTTAATGACTGCATCTTATTCAGAAATGCCTTGTAGTTATTCAAGAGCCCCGGAGAGATTTCTGAAGCATGCTCAGGTGTTAAACACCAGGAGTTTTTCCTCAGGCCGACATTACTGGGAAGTGGAGTGCAGTGATTTAGGGCAATGGTGTGTAGGGGTGACATATCCCAGTATAGAGAGGGAGGGAGATCAGTCATGGATTGGGGGTAATAACAAATCCTGGGGATTATGGAAATTTGAAAGTGGGAGCTATTCTGTAAGACATGACAATAAAATAATCTCTTTACGTGATATCCCTACCTGTCTGAGATTTGGAATATACCTGGATTATGGGGCTGGACAGATCTCCTTCTATGAGCTGTGTGACCCAATCAGACACTTACACACCTTCACTGCCACCTTCACTGAGCCGCTTCATGCTGGGTTCAATGTAACAAACAAAGCTTGGGTGAAGATCAGAAGCCAGGATTAATTATTTCTGATATTTTCGGCTCATGGAGAGGAATCTAATTGGTTCAAAGACAGCCAGTGGGAACTGGAAAGCTGCTCCCAAACTGAAAAGTATTAATTAACTAAACAGTGAATTGTGATACATTGTAAACCTAATTGCTAAATCTAGGCTTAAATAGATTATTTTGAAAAAAAAATCTAACTTACCGAAGTGGCTATTTTAGCCTGAATCTTGCTATTATCAGTGCAGCATTACACTCATTGTATGTTAAAATAGAGGATCAGTGTATTATTGTGTATAATAGGACCATAGCTGGGTGTATGAGAATTGTGTATTTATAGGTAGGATAAGTAGGAATGTGTGGATATTATCATTGTGTATGTGATAAGTGTAGTGCGGTATGTGTATATTAGGGCTGTGGATGTGTGTAAGTGAAGTATAGGATTCTTTGTTGGTATCTTTGTATTATGACCGTAAGAGCATATATGTATGTTTGTATATTGTGACTGTAGGTGTGCACCATACATCTAGGCGTTCATATAGAATAAGCATATAGGATTTATACAATAGGAATGCATATGTGATGACAGTATATCTGTAGGTGTGTATAGGATATGTTTAGGGGTCTCTATACTAGGGCTGGTGCATGTGTATCAGGTAAGTGTAAGACTGATATTATGACAGTAGGTATGTGTAGGATTGGTGGAGTGTGCATATTATGACTGTAGACATGTGTATATAGGATACATGTAGGTTTGTGTTTGTTTCAGGACTGTTATTGTGTGTAGGTAGGACTGTGTGTGTTTTAGGACTGTCAGTGTGTGTCGGATGTGTGGTGATAATGACTGGTGTCTGTATGTTGTATTTTATTGTCAGTGTGTGTAAGATGTGTGGTGATAATGACTGCTGTCTGTATGTTGTATTTTATTTTCGTTGTCTGTGTAGGATGTGTGGTGATAATGACTGCTGTCTGTATGTAGTATTTTATTGTCGGTGTGTGTGTAGGATGTGTGGTGATAATGACTGCTGTCTGTATGTAGTATTTTATTGTCGGTGTGTGTGTAGGATGTTTGGTGATAATGACTGCTGTCTGTATGTTGTATTTTATTGTCGGTGTGTGTAGGATGTGTGGTGATAATGACTGCTGTCTGTATGTTGTATTTTATTTTCGTTGTCTGTGTAGGATGTGTGGTGACAATGACTGGAGTCTGTTTGTAGTATTTTATTGTGGGTGTGTGTAGGATGTGTGGTGATAATGACTGCTGTCTGTATGTAGTATTTTATTGTCGGTGTGTGTAGGATGTGTGGTGACAATGACTGGTGTCTGTACGTAGTATTTTATTGTCGGTGTGTGTGTAGGATGTGTGGTGATAATGACTGCTGTCTGTATGTTGTATTTTATTGTCAGTGTGTGTAAGATGTGTGGTGATAATGACTGCTGTCTGTATGTTGTATTTTATTTTCGTTGTCTGTGTAGGATGTGTGGTGACAATGACTGGAGTCTGTTTGTAGTATTTTATTGTGGGTGTGTGTAGGATGTGTGGTGATAATGACTGCTGTCTGTATGTAGTATTTTATTGTCGGTGTGTGTAGGATGTGTGGTGACAATGACTGGTGTCTGTACGTAGTATTTTATTGTCGGTGTATGCAGTAATAGATATAACACATTGAGTTTTGTCACATCTAATAGGTGTAAGCGAGGTTATGCTGGGTAGCAGTGAGTCAGTCTGAGCTGCCCCATAACTGGAGTAATAGGGGTATAAGAGAGACTAATCCTAAAGAAATAAACAGGAATCCATAGAATGGAGAGATTAATAATAAGAAAAGGTGTTGGTGTCGAGGGGATAATGACAGGATCAATAACTGAGATCAATCAGAATAGAGGGGGTGGGAGGTATTTAAAGAAACTGAATCTAATTGATGAATTAACCTTTTTACTTGGATCCTGGAATAATGGGTCCATGTGCCAGCGAGGTTATTCTAGGTATTAGTAATCAGTGGGAGGTCAGCCTCCAGCGATATAATATATGGACTGAGAGAGGGGAATGAGCCAGGCATTAGATATAGCCAAGTCATAGATCAGAATCAGAATCCAAGAATGTAAGAAGCCAGGCTATATCTTATCTTATGGAACGTGTTGCATCTCTTGTTACCTTATAATTTTGAAGCAAAGGCATTGCTGGTGGGTTTTGGGGTGGAATCCCCGGATGTGGGCGTCTCTAGCTAACGTTTCTATAGTTGGTGATGGATGTAGAAGAATTATAGTAGTTCTTTATTTTTATATCACGCTGCTGCTTCTTAAAGCAACCACTTATTCCAAAAATAAGATCAGTAGTATAGTGCTCTTCCAGTCTGCTTAGGGAGTCAGAGTCGTGGCTGTGCGGAGGAGGTACTGCGGAACAGAGCTACACAGGGATAGGGGTTGTTGAGTTTTGCTTTAGGTTAAAGCCCCGGGTGTTTCTGGAACCTGGTAATGCCAATCCTTTGAATTTTAATTTACATGAGGAGATTGACTTTAAAAGGTCCTTTTGGTTCAATAATGAGATTTGTATGTGGTTACCTAGAAATGACATATTTAATTTAGTATAAATTGATTAGCATAATCAGCTTACATCGTGACAGGTATTATTTATGAAATTAAAGTCTGTATAACTATACTGTATATTCAAAACTTGTCATTCTCTATGGGTAGATCCTGCATCTATAGCGATTTAGGCCTCAATTTAATATTGTTGATAAGCATTCTAAACAATTTAATCAACTTTTACAATTATTTTTTCAACATATTAAAATATCAGAAAATATATGTAAAAATATTTCACTAAATAAAAATATCAAAATATTACAAAATGAACATATTTTCAAAATATAATTTTTTAAAATATATCCAACAATTTGGATGATGTGAAGATGTTTATGGGGTGATTAATATTAAAAATAATATTTTATAAAAAATTATCAAAAATGTATTTAATTCATGTAATAACTTTAAAAACAAATTGTGTCTGAGCTGTGCATTTTGTTACAAAATGGGGTCACATCTGCCAAGTGGTGACTTACAGTATACATTTTTACTTTCTAACACAAAATTCTGCCAGTGAAAATACCTGACAATAACAATGGCCTTGATTTCATAAACTTTCCGAATGACTGAATACTGTTAGAAAACGTTTCTATAGGATTCAGAAGTCATCATTAGATTCTATGGGAATTTTAGTAGATAAATCATTTAAAAGATTAAATAGTGGCCTATAAGGAGTTTACTTAATTTGTTAGGCAAATGTATTAATTATATTATTATTATATTAATCACCCTTTGCAATAAATATATCAACATTTTTACGAGTACTTTTTGACACCCTTTTCTAATAAGCTTAGAGGGTAAGGGCGGGGAAGCTGCATTGTTTGAGCGCGGTGGGAGGAGTATCAAGGTCTGTATTTGTAGCAATTGAGCCTTAGAACGTACAATGTGATAGTGTGTAGAAATGAATTTTACTTTGGAATTGTAAAATTTAATTCATGTGATTTCTCACAAAATTAAATATTTCCTATCTTATTTCAATATTCTGTGATTTTGCTATCTAAACATAAATGTAAATTTTTATAACTGAATAAGGCCCTGGGAAGATAGCGCAGCTAAGCGGACAAGGGCACATGTAGGAGTGTGGGGATAGATGCAGGGGAGTGACTTGGGAAGTGGGCATGGGAGGGGTTAGGTTTAATGTAAGTTAGTGTGGGGTCTTACCTCAGTGCCACTTGGGATACGGGCCAGCAAACAGCTTCCCGCCCGTTTTATTGGGGTTATCTATGTTTATGTGGCATCGTAATTCCCCGCTATGTACATACAAGGATTATAGCTACATTATGCTATTTCTTAAAATAACCAGCCTTCGATCCCGTGTAAAACCACCGTTTTCACTTTCAATCTCGATAATGCTGGGAGTCTGCAGCAACGATAGCAGGCAGTGGGCAGAGCGCTCAGCAGACAGAAGATTTGTCTGTCTGTCTCCTACTGACTGCACATCTCCACTCACTGCTCCACAACTCCACTCACTGCTCCACATCTCCACTCACTGCTCCATAACTCCACTCACTGCTCCACAACTCCACTCACTGCTCCATAACTCCACTCACTGCTCCACAACTCCACTCACTGCTTCACATCTCCACTCCTTGATTTACAACTTCACTCACTGCTCCACATCTCCACTCACTGCTCCACATCTCCACTCACTGCTCCATAACTCCACTCACTGCTCCACAACTCCACTCACTGCTCCATAACTCCACTCACTGCTCCACAACTCCACTCACTGCTTCACATCTCCACTCCTTGATTTACAACTTCACTCACTGCTCCACATCTCCACTCACTGCTCCACATCTCCACTCACTGCTCCATAACTCCACTCACTGCTCCATAACTCCACTCACTGCTCCACATCTCCACTCACTGCTCCACATCTCCACTCACTGCTCCACATCTCCACTCACTGCTCCATAACTCCACTCACTGCTTCACATCTCCACTCACTGATTCACATCTGTACTCCGTGCTCCACATCTCTCACTCACTGCTCCACATCTCCACTCACTAATTCACATCTGCACTCACTGCTCCACATCTCCACTCACTGATCCACATCTCCACTCACTGATTCACACCTCCACATCTCCACTCGCTGCTAAACATGTCCACTCACTGCCAGTGCCATCTTAACAACATTATGGGCCCCAATAAAATTAAACTTATATTTATTGGTACCTCCAACAAATGCAATACATACATAAAATACACACACACACACAGACTGCTGAATAAACACACAGAATGCAGAATACACACAGGCTGCTGAATACATACACACAGACTGCTGAGTACATACACAGAGATTGCTGAATACAGACAAACTGCTGAGTACACTCACATACTGCTAAATGCATACACAGATGGCTGAATACACACACACACACACAGAATTCAAAATGCACACAGGCTTCTGTATATACACACAGGCTTCTGAATACATACAACCAAGCTGCTGAATACATACACACAGACTGCTGAGTACATACACAGAGATTGCTGAATACAGACAAACTGCTGAGTACACTCACATACTGCTAAATGCATACACAGATGGCTGAATACACACACACACACACAGAATTCAAAATGCACACAGGCTTCTGTATATACACACAGGCTTCTGAATACATACAACCAAGCTGCTGAATACATACACACAGACTGCTGAGTACACACATACAGACTGCTGAGTACACACACAGACTGCTAAATGCATACACAGACTGCTTAATAATGACACACAGATTGCTGAATACATGCACAGACTGCTGAATGCAAGCACATACTGCTGAATATGCACACACAGACTGCTGAACACACACACACATTGCAGAATACACACATACAGACAGCAGTGAGGGGTGCAGTTTTGTGTGTGTGAGGGGTGCTGTGCATGTGTGAGGGGTGCAGTGTTTCTGCGAGTGGTGCTGTGTGTGTGGGGAGTGCAGTGTGTGTGTGTGTGTGATGGTGCAGTGGGTATGTGAGAGGTGCAGTGTGTGTTTATGTGAGTAGTAGTACAGTGTGTGAGAAGTGCAGTGTGTGTGTGTGTGTGTGTGTGAGGTGTGCTGTGTGTAAGTAATGTAGTGTATATGAAGGGTGCTGGGTGTGAGGGTGCTGTGTATCTGAGGGGTGCTTTGTGTGTATGTGAGGTGTGCAGTATGTATACATGTGAGGGGTGCTGTTTGTGTGTTAGGTATGCTGTACGAGTGTGAGGGGTGATGTGTGTGTGTGAGGGGTGCTCTGTGTGTGTAAGGTGTTCACTGTGTGAGGGGGTAAGTGTGTGTGATGGGTGATGTGTTTGTGTGTGTGTGGGGGGGTGTGCTGTATGTATTAGGTGTGCTGTGTTTGAAGGGTGCTGTGTGTGTGTGTGTGTGTGTGTGTGTGAGGGTTGCTGTGTGTGAGAGGTTGTTTGGTGCTCCTTGTGTATGTGAGGTATGCAATGTGTGTATGTGAAGGGTGCACTGAGTGTGTGAGGGGTGCAATGTGTGTATGTGAAGGGTGCAATATGTGTGTGAGGGGTGCTCTTTGTGTATGTGAGAGGTGCTGTGTGTGTGAGGGGTGCTGTGTGTGTATATGAGGAGCAATGTGTGTATGTAAAGATTGCAATATGTGTTAGAAGGGTGCTGTGGATGAGGGGTGCTTTGTGTGTGTGTGTGTGTGTGTGAGGAGTGCTGTGTGTGTATGTGAGGGGAGCTGTGTGTGTGGTGGGGGGAAGGAGGGGGAGATGCATAGGGATAAGTGAATTTGGTTATTTTTATTTAAAAGAAATATATTTTTAAAGACTCATGTCCCCCCACCCTTCTTCTTACCTTTGATGAAGGGGGGGGAGGGGACGACACTGCCAGCCCTGGTGGTTAGTAGTGATGAGTAGGCCCTTCATTAGTGAGAGGTAGTACCTGGGAGGCAGTTCCTCCCTTGAACATGCTGGTCAGAGAATTGCCGAGACCAGCATGCTCGTGGGAGGAACTGCCTCCCAGGTCCTGCCTCTCACTAACGAAGAACCTTTGGGCCGGTGAGGGAAATCTGTGATCTCCCCAAAGGCCTGGAGCAAGTGAGTAGGGCCGGCTTTCCGTAAGCCAGCAGGGAAGATCAAAGGATCTCCCCTTTCAACCCTGGTACATGAGTGTTAAGACACCTCCCGTGTCTTTAAGCCAAACCGCCGTTTAGTAAACCTTCCCCGGCTGCAGTACAGTCTCTGTTCGCTTATTCGGTAACCCACGAACCAAATGCAGGGGAAGCGGCAATCTCCCGATCGAAATCCACGAACGGCTCCAAACTCCCGAACGGCAATATACGAACTGCTAGGAACCGTCGAACAATAATATCCCCAAAGCGGCTTTCGTTCCATCCAGCAGTCTCTAAACGTGAAGAAGAAATCCCCCCAATAACGAGACAGAAGCTCCGCATTGAGGGTCAAATAAGATCTGGGTTTACTGTGGGCTACCTGCCCGTATTTATGCAGGTCTCCCACCTGGTGGACACTCCCCTAGGGGACCAAATGGAAGACTTAAAGTACAGACAGATAGCAGGACATTTCTGACACACAGTCACATATTTTACCCACAGTACATTCTGATTCCCTCCCCTCTGTCCTGGAGTTAATTACCAAGTAACTCAATTAACTCCAGGACAAGGACAGTCGCCATCTTAAACATGAAATAATAAAAGACACAAAAATGCATAACTACATGAAGACTGAACATTTCCCATTCGTATTACATGTCCCCAGATAGCCTGGATCTGAGTGCATATTATTGGCGAATAGCGCTCAGATCCCACACACATAGTTCAATCGCCATGGAGTCAAAGTTCTTACAGTCCTTCGGTACACGAATGACTCCATGGGTGGGCTATCTGGGTTAAGTCTTTTGTGTGTTCTCAATCTCCCGAACGGCCGATGTTCGCATGCTTTCGTGGAGGCAGCCAGGCGTTCCCTTGTTTCAGCGGTGTTCGACAGAAAAAGTGTCCGTTTTCCGTTCCATAGAAATAGAGCCAAACACCGCTGAGCGTTCGCATGATTTAAAATGGCCGCTGCCTCGTGGTCGACATACGAACGACGACCACCCTGAGTTCGGTTTAATTGAGAAGTGTCTGCGGTTAACCACAACGTTATAATGGTGATCACTTCGTTAACCTGCAGCACACTCCTCACTTGGGTGGCCGTTCGTTCGGCGGTTTTGTTCGGGAAAAAGAGTCATTCGAATGGCTGGGCTATAGAAACCAGCCATTCATACGAACGGGGACAAACAGACGAACGGGCAAAAATCCAGCAGACAGATGGTTCTGTCACACGGCTCCCTCCTTGTGGGACACTCCGGCAGACCCGGCTTGACCCTGTGGCGGGTCAACTTGGGGATGACCGGACTACGAGGTGATGGAAACGTCTGTTTGTCGTGACAACCCATCTGCGTTTCCGTTTAGCTTACCGGGTCTGTAGCTGATGGTAAAATTGTAGGGCTGTAGTGCCAAGCTCCATCTCAGCAGTCTCCCATTGTCTCCTGAGACCCGGTTAAGCCAAACGAGTGGGTTGTGATCAGTCACAAGGGAAAACTCTTGCCCATACAAATAGGGGCTTAACTTTTTCAGTGCCCAGACCAAGGCCAAACATTCCTTCTCCACTGCCGCATAACTCACTTCTCTGGGTAACAACTTTCTGCTGAGATATGCGACAGGGTGCTCTCCTCCATCTTCCCCGACTTGGCTCAGCACAGCCCCCAGTCCATACATGGAAGCATCTGTATGGACGAGAAAGCGTTTGTTAGGGACTGGGGCAGCCAAGACAGGGGCATTCACAAGAGCCTGCTTCAGTGCCTGGAACGCAGCTTCACAAGCCGGAGACCACAGGACCTGCTTAGGCAAGTTTTTCTTCGTCAGGTCTGTCAGGGGCTTAGCGATAGCGCTGTAGTCAGGGACAAAACGTCTGTAGTACCCTGCCGTCCCCAAGAAGGCCAATACCTGGGTCTTAGTAGTAGGTGTGGGCCAGTTAGCCACTGCCTCTACCTTGGCTGGCTCCGGTCTCTGGCTCCCACACCCCACTCTGTGACCCAGGTACTGTACTTCAGCCATACCTAGATGACACTTTTCTGGCTTCAATGTCAGGCCAGCGGCCCTAATCTTATCCAGCACTACCCCTACATGTACCAGGTGTTCCTCCCAGGACCCACTGTAGATCGCAATGTCGTCCAAGTATGCACAGGCAAATTCTTGGAAGCCATCCAGGAGTCTATCCACCATCCGTTGGAAGGTAGCCGGTGCATTTTTCATCCCAAAAGGCATGACCTTAAATTGGTACAGGCCAAATGGGGTGACAAATGCCGACTTGGGGATAGCATCCTCGGCCAGGGGGATCTGCCAGTAGCCCTTACACAGGTCTATGGTGGTCAGATATCGCCCCCTGGCAATACGATCTAGTAATTCGTCTACCCGGGGCATTGGGTAGGCGTCAGTGGTGGTCCGCTCGTTGAGTCGCCTGTAGTCCACACAGAACCGGGTGGTCCCATCTTTCTTTGGCACCAGGACTACAGGCGAGGCCCAAGGGCTGTCGGAGTGCTCGATAACCCCAAGTTGGGTCATCTCCTGTATCTCCTTCCGCATTCCTTCACGGACTGCTTCAGGGATACGGTAGGGGGGCTGTCGTAACGGGGTCTGTCCAGGGGTCTCTACCTTATGCACAGCTAGGGTGGTATAACCTGGTTCCTGGGAGAACGTCGCCTGCTTCTCCCATAACAACTGCTGCGCCTGTACCCTTTCTGTGGGGTTCAACCGGTCCCCTAGCTGTACCAAGGTAGTAAGGTCAGTCTGGGAATCCCTTTCTAATAGATCTGGAAGGGGTAAATTCTCAGAATCATCTGCAGCTGGGGCACACACTGCTGCAATATTCTCAGGTCTCTCCTGGTACTCTTTCAGCATGTTCACATGAAAGGACCGCTGGATCCTCTCATCTGCACAGCTGGCTATCAAGTAAGTAGTGTCGCAGATCTGCGCCACTACCTTGTACGGGCCCTGCCAAGATGCTTGCATCTTGTTGGCCTTCACAGGTTTAAGCACCAATACCTTTTGCCCAACCTGGAAGACCCGCTGTCGGGCACCCTGATCGTACCATCTCTTCTGTCTCCCCTGGGCCGCCTGGAGATTCTCCCTTACCATCAGGGACAGTTTCTCCATGCGGTCCCGGAGTTCCAGAACATATGGCACTATGGGGGTCCCTTCCTGCTCCGTCTCCCCCTCCCAGTGGCCTCTAATGAGATCTAGGGGTCCGCGGACCCTTCTCCCATACAGCAGCTCAAAGGGGGAGAACCCAGTAGATTCCTGGGGCACCTCTCTATAAGAAAATAATAGATGAGGCAGGAATCTCTCCCAGTCTCTGCAAGTGTCTGTAAAGGTCCTCAGCATCTGTTTGAGGGTACCGTTAAAGCGCTCGCAGAGACCGTTAGTCTGTGGGTGGTAGGGTGAGCTAAGTAACGGCTTAATGCCGCACACCTTCCACAGTTGCTGGGTGAGCACAGCGGTGAATTGGGTTCCCTGGTCGGAGAGGATCTCCTTAGGGAACCCGACCCTAGTAAAAATTCTAACCAGGGCATCAGCAACCGTCTCTGCCTCTATGTTAGACAGCGCTACTGCCTCTGGATAGCGGGTGGCATAGTCCACCACGGTAAGAACATACTTCTTACCGGATGGACTAGCCCTGGCCAGTGGACCCACAATGTCAACGGCTATGCGGGCAAAGGGCTCCCCTATAATAGGCATCGATAATAGCCTAGCCTTAGGGTGGTCCCCCCGCTTTCCTACCCGTTGACATGTGTCACACGTGCTGCAGTACATCCGCACAGCCTGGTTAAAGTTTGGCCAAAAGAAGTTCTGTGAAATCCTATAGGCTGTGCGGCGGGACCCTAGATGTCCAGCTAATGGAACATCATGCCCTATCCGCAGAATCTCCTGCCGGTACTTTGCAGGTACCACTAACTGGCGATTCGGCGGAGAGGCAACACTCTTCTGGGAAGGTTTAGGGATCCTATATAACCTGTCCCCCACCCACTCATACCGTTCCCCATCTATTCCTTCCTCCCCAGCCTCTGCCCTGTCCTTGTATCTTTGGAGGGTCGGATCCGCCCGGGTTTCCCTCCCAAACTCCTCTGGGGAATCCCAGCTTAAGGGGACCTGATCTGGGGTATCAGTCGGGGAAGGAGATCTTACCTGGGTCTCGTCAGCAAGCGGGCTGGTTCCGGCAGCACGGGTCTGGGCACGGGTAGTCACTGGGTTCACGTCTGCAGGGCCCATCGGAGCATAGGCCGAAACCAAAGGGGCCAAATCGTTTCCCAAAAGAACATCTGCGGGCAAGTCCTTCATCACCCCCACATCCACATGCCTAGCGCCCACTCCCCAATCCAAATGTACTCGGGCAACAGGTAAGCGAAACACGGCACCCCCTGCTACCCTTACTGCCACAGTGTCTCCAGTGTGTTGATGCTCTGAGACCAAGTTCTTTTGGAGCAGTGTCATCGTGGCTCCTGTGTCTCTCAGCCCATTCACCACTCTGCCATTTAGCTTCACAGTTTGCCGATGTTGCTGGCGATTATCCTGGTGAGCCGCTTGCACTGGGTCTGCCTCGTGCAGAATGCCCCAAAATTCCTCCTGCTCTAGGCAGTGAGCAGCAGGCTGAGGTGGGCGCTGGTTTCCGTTAACTGGTCTCCTCCAGGACTGAGCCTGGTTGGCACTGTTCAGGGGGCACTCAGGACGCTTGTGCCCCAACTGCTTGCATCCATAGCACCGGATGGGTTGGGAGTACTCCCGGGCATTAAATCGGGCTGGTTGCATATAATTGTTAGCTGGTGGTGCGGCTGGGGTACGGTGTACTGGGGGTTGGTAGACTGCAGGAGCGGGTGTTACTGCTGGTCGATATTCCAGTCTGGCAGGGGCTTTAGCAGCTGTACCATCCAACTTGCGGGCATCCGTGTATTCGTCTGCCAGACGGGCAGCCTCGGGTAGGGTAGAGGGTTTTCTGTCTCTGACCCATTCCCGGACCCCAGCAGGTAGTCTATCAAAGCAGTGCTCCAGCAGGAACACTTGTAACACCTCCTCCCCAGTTACCGCTTGGCATCCAGCCATCCAGTGGGCTGCGGTACGATGGACTCTGCAGGCCCATTCCACATAAGAGTCCCCAACCAGCTTGTTGGTTTCTCTAAACCTCCGCCTGTACGCCTCTGGGGTCACCGCATACCTGGCTAGGAGCGCCTCTTTCACAGCCCGATAGCTGGTGATCTCCTCCTCTGGGATGGCCCGAAAAGCTTCACTAGCCCGGCCAGATAATTTCCCAGAGAGGATGGTGACCCATTCATCTGCAGGTACCTGATGTAGCGCACACTGCCTCTCAAAGTCTGCCAAAAATCCATCAATCTCTCCCTCTGTTTCCACAAAATTTTTAAACGCAGCAAAAGGTACCTTTTTTCTAGCAACCACATTATTGTCATACGGTACCTCTGCTGCTGCAGCTCCTCTTTCCCGGGCTGCCTGTTGTGTTGCAACTGCTGCCTGCACACGAACCACGATGTCAGCTGAGGGGTTGGGGCCAAAATGTGCCAGCCTTATTTGTACTGCCCGGTTGAATTGTATTTCCTCGGGTGTTAAATCCAAGGTACTGGGCACGTTGACTCTTTCCATTCCCGTTGCTGCATCCATCTCCATTAGCAAAGCAATAATCTCCCGTTTCTTTAAATTGCTTGCTGACCTTCCTCGGCGTTCCAATATGTCCTTAAGTGTAGCACGCCTTAATTCCTCGTACTGCATCTCTTGTAGCTGACCTCCAGTGCTGTAGGATTCATCCCACCGCTGCCACCAATTGTTAAGACACCTCCCGTGTCTTTAAGCCAAACCGCCGTTTAGTAAACCTTCCCCGGCTGCAGTACAGTCTCTGTTCGCTTACTCTGTAACCCACGAACCAAATGCAGGGGAAGCGGCAATCTCCCGATCGAAATCCACGAACGGCTCCAAACTCCCGAACGGCAATATACGAACTGCTAGGAACCGTCGAACAATAATATCCCCAAAGCGGCTTTCGTTCCATCCAGCAGTCTCTAAACGTGAAGAAGAAATCCCCCCAATAACGAGACAGAAGCTCCGCATTGAGGGTCAAATAAGATCTGGGTTTACTGTGGGCTACCTGCCCGTATTTATGCAGGTCTCCCACCTGGTGGACACTCCCCTAGGGGACCAAATGGAAGACTTAAAGTACAGACAGATAGCAGGACATTTCTGACACACAGTCACATATTTTACCCACAGTACATTCTGATTCCCTCCCCTCTGTCCTGGAGTTAATTACCAAGTAACTCAATTAACTCCAGGACAAGGACAGTCGCCATCTTAAACATGAAATAATAAAAGACACAAAAATGCATAACTACATGAAGACTGAACATTTCCCATTCGTATTACATGTCCCCAGATAGCCTGGATCTGAGTGCATTTTATTGGCGAATAGCGCTCAGATCCCACACACATAGTTCAATCGCCATGGAGTCAAAGTTCTTACAGTCCTTCGGTACACGAATGACTCCATGGGTGGGCTATCTGGGTTAAGTCTTTTGTGTGTTCTCAATCTCCCGAACGGCCGATGTTCGCATGCTTTCGTGGAGGCAGCCAGGCGTTCCCTTGTTTCAGCGGTGTTCGACAGAAAAAGTGTCCGTTTTCCGTTCCATAGAAATAGAGCCAAACACCGCTGAGCGTTCGCATGATTTAAAATGGCCGCTGCCTCGTGGTCGACATACGAACGACGACCACCCTGAGTTCGGTTTAATTGAGAAGTGTCTGCGGTTAACCACAACGTTATAATGGTGATCACTTCGTTAACCTGCAGCACACTCCTCACTTGGGTGGCCGTTCGTTCGGCGGTTTTGTTCGGGAAAAAGGAGTCATTCGAATGGCTGGGCTATAGAAACCAGCCATTCATACGAACGGGGACAAACAGACGAACGGGCAAAAATCCAGCAGACAGATGGTTCTGTCACAATGAGCAATGCTGTGGGGCTCCTATGCTGGTGGGGCCCCTGGGCAAGTGCCCAGCCAGCCCATGGGGAAAGACATAAGGCCCTGCTCACTGCTCAACATTTCCACTCACTGCTCCACATCTCCACTTACTGTTCTACATCTCAATTCACTGCTCTGCTTTGAGAATTTACTTTGCAGGAAACAGGTAGAATAATGCCAATAGGGCATTATTCTATATCATCCATAAAATGGTTGGAGAAAGCCCTTTATTTTCTTTCTGTACCAACATCACAGCGTAGTTTCACTGTTCCAATTCCCTATCGACTCTCTCTTTTTCACTCCTGTGCGAAGCTTAAATTAGAAAAAAACAGAAAGGGGCTAAGAGAAGGTGATGGAACAGTGGTGAGGGGGCATTGTAAGGGGCACAATAATTTATGATGGCCCTCTGATCCTTGTTATCCACGATGGGTAACGGGGTAGTATGTGGACCTTATGTATACTGTCAGTATGTGATAATTATTTAACTTTCCTGTTTATGGGTGGAAGGCTGTTAGTGACCCAAGAACTATTAAAAAGAGGCAATGGATATTAACTATCACTGCATCGGCTTTAATCAGGAGGCTAGCACCAGGCCGGACTGGCCAACCAAGAAACTGGGCCATTTCCCTGTGGCTCACTCTAGCTGGAGAAATCTTTGCACATTTGGCCTTCGAACAGAGCCACTGAGGGGTGGCCAAGTGTGAATTCAAAGATATGCCAATTGCTCCCACACACTGTACCCCACATCATACTGAAGTCTGACATCAGTCTCCAGCAGCCGAGACTTGTATATACATGAGAAGCAGTTTCTTACTATGAACACCAACCTCAGTCCGCACAACTACTGGCAAGAAAGAGCTTACGGGAAAGTGAAATATGCAATGAGTGCATGTCAGTGAGTGCTAGATTCATTGAGTTTTTGTGTTACTGTGTCAGAGGAAGTATTTGACAATGCATGCTGGTGTCAGTGAATTTGTGTATCTGTGTGTTACATTAAGTGCTTGAGTCAGTCAGTGTGTCAGTGACTGCTTGTAAGTGTGCGTGACAGTGTGTGTTTGTTAGTGATTGTAACAGTACATCTATAAGTCATTATATTTGTGTTTGTGTGTAACGTTGTTTGTATGTTTGTCAATGTATACGACAGGAAATAATGTTTCATTTCTAGTCCCTGAAAGAAATCTGTATATAGTATGTTGTAAAATCTGCCAAGTTGCTTGGTATTGCCAACTGTGTAAGAGCTTTTGGCTCTCCATAGGAAGTAGTAGAGGCAGGGTGTGTTATCCAGCAGATTCCAGGTGAGAAATTAATCCACATATAAACCGTAAACAAACAGCTGTATATGGTAATTATATTAACTTTAAAAACATATTACCTAGACCAATCACTGGACACAATTTACATGTCTAACTGCCACAGCCTGGGAAATGAGTGTTAGGGAATTACGATCCACAGCCTCGGTGTCAGTCATTGAGTCATTGGTTTAACTTGTTCGTATTTTCGTATTCTTTTTTTATTTTTTAACAGTATGGTAATTAGTACAGTTATTTCTAGATACATTGTTTAATTTTATGTGTTTTTATTAATTTGATTACATTTTATAATAATAATAAAAACTATTAAATAAAAAAATAAATAAAAACACAGCCACAAATTAAGAAAGTTGATTTTATTACTAATACATTCATTTATATTGCCTTCGTTGCCTCTTATCCAGGGAGATTTACACAAGTCAGAAAGTATCTAATCTCATCATTTAAACTGATATACTCATAAACTATGGATGGGTAATTACATAGTTACATAGTTACATAGCTGAAAAGAGACTTGCGTCCATCAAGTTCAGTCTACCTCACATTTGTTTTTTGCTGTTGATCCAAAACGAGTTTGAAGCACAATTTTGCAACAAGCTAGGAAAAAAATTCCTTCTTGACCCCAGAATGGCAGTCAGATTTATCCTTGGATCAAGCAGTTATTACCCTACATTGAAAGATTATATCTTGAATATTCTGTTTTTGCAAGTATGCATCTAGTAGCTGTTTGTACAATATACAAACTGTGGAGAAACACTCAATATAACAACAACCTCAAATTAGGGTGCTATTCCTTGAAGGTACTCTCTCAGATACCAATACAATCAATAATCAATAACAAAGAATGCACATCATATGATACAAAGTATCTATCTATATTTATTAGTTACAATACAAGTACAAACCATACACAAATAATATAACAGTGACTTACTAGGCAATCAATATCCAAAAATACATATTTACCACATTTCACAAGCCTATATGGGCAGAAACACGAGTCACAAATAGTCCCCCAAAGTTTCGGCTCCTCCTGGTAGCCTTTATCATCTAGTAGCCGTTTGAAGGACTTGGGAATTGTTATAGACAACAAACTATGCAACAATGTGCAATGTCAATCAGCAGTGGCCAAGGCCAGTAAGGTATTGTCATGCATGAAAAGGGCATTCATTCTCGGGACAAGAATATAATTTTGCCTCTTTATAAATCACTGGTAAGACCCCATATTGAATATGCTGTGCAATTTTGGGCACCTGTTCTAAAGAAGGATATTATGGCACTAGAAAAAGTGCAGAGGCGGGCTACAAAATTAATAAAAGGAATGGAACATATAGGCTATGAAGAAAGGTTAACAAATTTAAACCTATTTAGTTTAGAAAAATGTCGCCTGAGAGGGGATATGATAACATTATACAAATATATTCGGGGCCAATACAAACCATTGTGTGGAAATCTATTCACAAACCGGACTTTACATAGGACACGAGGCCATGCGTTTAGACTGGAAGAAAGAAGATTTCGTCTAAGGCAAAGGAAAGGTCATTGACATTGCACATTGTTGCATAGTTTGTTGTCTATAACAATTCCCAAGTCCTTTTCGTGTGTTGTTATCCCTAATTCGCTTCCATTAAGGTTATACGTTGCTTGTGTATTCTTTACGCCGAAGTGCATAACTTTGCATTTTTCAACATTAAATTTCATCTTCCATTTGAGTGCCCAGTCCCCCAGTCTAAATCCCTCTGCAGCAAAGTAATATCTTGCTCACAAAGTTTTGTGTCATCTGGAAACAAGTTCATTTATAAACATGTTAAATAGAAGGGGTCCCAGAACAGACCCCTGAGGGACACCACTTGCCACCTCTGTCCAGCTTGAAAATTTACCATTAATGACAACTCTTTGTACTCTGTTTTTAAGCCAATGTTCTACCCAAGAACAAGCATTTTCATCTAGAGCGATTTCCTTGAGTTTGAACACTAATCTATTGTGTGGAACTGTATCAAATGCCTTGGCAAAATCCAAATAGATCACATCCACGTCAACACCCTGATCTATACTTCTACTTACTTCTTCGTAGAACGCAATCAAGTTAGTTTGACATGACCTGTGCTTCATAACACCTGTGCTACTGTTAAAGGGACACTATAGGCACCCAGACCACTTCCGCTCATTGAAGTGATCTGGGTGTAGTGTCCCAGTTCCCCTAACCCTGCCTCTGTGGGTTAACTCCACCTCTGAGGGTTAACTCAGCTGCCGGATCATTAGGCGACATTTGGTCACCTAATTAACGCTGGATGTCCTCACGCTCTACATGAGGATGGAAATCCAGCATCATGTAAAACTCCATCAGAAAGCATTTTAAAATGGGGGAAATCCTAATGTGAGCGCGTGCTTTAGGTCCCCCCTGTCGGCTGATGTCAGTGGGGAAGGAGCGGAAGTGTAGTCTGAACCAGTACGAAGGGACATCCCGGAAGGGGGGGGGGGGCTATAGTTTCCCTTTAACACAAAACACAAAACCTTGATTAAAACATTGAAAATCCCCTATAACTTGAATTAACCTTTTTCATGTGGTGCTTGATTTTCTTTTATAATGTGTTTAAGCCCTATGAGTGCAGTATTTCATGTTGGAGAAATCATTTTCAATTTGAAGTTTATTTTTACACCTGTTTATCTGCATTTATACTGATGCAATGCATTATGGGGCTGTTATCAAAATTTTCCAGGGCTGCTTTTTATTGAAAAATGAAAGATAACAACCATTCATTAATTATAACAGCCAGTTCTGTTCTGGTATATTCTATGAAGTATGTTTAATATGTGTTCCCAGTCAAAGTACATTATACCCTCTACACATCAATAAGCCGTTCGTAAGATGTTTATTTTTGTAATTCTCCCTAGACCAGTTAAGTTATCCCAAACACCCAGCCCAACATGCAGCGGCTCGGTGAAGGTGGCAGTGAAGGTGTGTAAGTGTATGATTTTGTCACCCAGCTCGTAAAATGCCAGCCGCCCAGCCTCATAGTCAAGATACATTCCTATTATCTGACGGGAAGGGTAATGAAGCAAATGAGTTTCTTTTCCTTTATACCTCACTGTGTATGGATCATGCATCCACCTACCCAAACCCCAAGACTTGTTATTTATCCCAATTAATGACTCAAATTTCTTCCTGTCTATACTGGGATAGGCCATCCCTACAATCCAGTTTCCTGATTCACTGATTTCAAATGCCCAGTAATGTTGCCCAGAGGAAAAACGCCTGGTGCTTATAACCTGGCTGCCCCAAAATCTCTCTGGAGTTTCAGGACGATGGCTGGTATATCTTGGGAAGGAAACACTATTCCCATCATGTGATATGGAAACTACATGACTTGCTGTGTTTTCATCTAGTGATATGTCTGATGTCACGCTCACATCTGGTAACATGACCAAAGCTCCTGGGACATTCTGCCATCTCTTCTTCAAAGTTATAATGTCAGCTAAGCCTTTATGTAAAGTCATTGAGATCAGGAAAGCATCGAGATCACCTACAGCATTGACCATTTCTTCATCACACTCTTCATTCTCATGATTTCCATCTTCAGTATCACAATAGTCAGCACTGTCAGATTCCTGTCCTTGTAACACAGTCAATGGATCCTTCATGTTGCACAGCTCCTCAATGCGACCCATCTTCCTGGACAGATCCTCCTTCTTTATTTCCAGCTGCTGGATAAGATCGGAGACTTGGAGTGAGACCTGCTCTTCCTGTCTGGAAATTTCATTCAGGACTCGCTTTTCTAAGTCCTCTATCTGTTCCTTGATGTCCCTAATCAGGGCAGTGACTCGCTCTGTTACTCCAGCTGCTTTTTTTTGCACTTCAGTCTTGTACTTCAGCAAGTTCTGGACTTTTTTCTCAGCCTCCTCTCTCTTTGAGGTCAGTTTCTCTTGAATATTTCTGAGTTTCTCCTTCTTCTTCTCAGAGGCCTCATTCAGAGTGTCCACCTGGTGTCCCCTGTGATCTCCGGCCAGGCTGCAGGACACACAGATACAGGAAGCATCCTCAGAGCAGTAATACTCCAGGACCTTCTTGTGGATGGAGCATTTTCTGTGCATGAAGGAAGTGGTGGGTTCAGTTAGGACATGTTCTGGTGACCTGCTGTGAACCTTCAGGTGGTTTTCACACAGAGAAGCTTCGCACATCAGACATGTTTTAGCAGCAGATACAGGAGATTGAATGCAGTAAGTACAGAGGATCCGAGCTTCCTCCTGCTGCTCTGGGTGATTAGATAGGAAACTCTCCGCTATGTTACACAGCTTCCTATTCTTCTCCAGTGCCGGACGTTCCTGAAACTCTGCTCTGCATTCAGGACACCTATAGGCTCCGGATCCCTCCTGTGTCTCCAGCACATTCCCAATACAGACCTGGCAGTAGCTGTGTCCACATGTCAGGGTTACAGGATCTGTATAAATACTCAGACAGATGGAGCAGGTCAGCTCGTCTCTCAGATCAGCAGACGCCATGACTGAAAGCAGGAAGCATGGAAACACTCCCAGAGAGCTGTGGGAGGTTCTTGTACCCTAACTATTAACCATGTAGGTTCCTGACTGCCAGGTCATTTCAAAGAGAGGTGAAAGATTACCATTGTTTGTGCTAGAAACCAATTCTGCAGTTTTTCTAACTGAGTTTGGAGGTTTTATCTAACATTACATTATATCCATATTATCTCAGTGAAATCCATGAAAAAAATCTTACTGTTCATTTTAATTCCAACTGTGATTATGTGATGCTCGTATGAAGTCCCCCTAGTGCCTGAAAAAAAATTGAAAAAGTTATTAAAAGGTTTATAAAGTACATAAAAAGTACTTAGATCATATATATAATCTAAGTACTTTTACATGCACATAAACACACATACACCATTATTAAAAGTGTATTTTAATATTAAATATATATATATATATATATACATATATATATTTATATTAATATTAAAATACACTTAGAATTATGTTAATTTTATATATCTAAAAAAGAAGAGAAAAATTCCCTGCACTCACGCTTTAACTCCTTCACTGCCGGGTGCTTTAGCCTGAGCTCCAAAGATACAAATCCAACATAGAATGGCTGC